ATTGATTTAATTATTCTTAAGAGCTTGATCGTAAAAAAAGATGGAATAAAAAATGGCTTTCTATATATAACTACAGGGTTTATCAAATAAATAAAACTAATAAAAGAATGATTAGAATAAAACCAGAACATATTTTGGACAAAGTTCTGTCCTGTGTTAAACCAATATAATGACAAAATAAAATAAAGAAGGAAATTTACAGCATGCATTTCATGGAAATAATACCAGTAGGTTGAAAATCATGCTTCACTTAAATACTTATTTACTTAAGTACAGTGATTATTCCCCAAATGTATATAATATATTAAGTTTTCATCTTAGGTGAGTACATACTTATTTTACAATTGTTTCACAATTAATATCACAAATTAATTATTTGCAGAAATAAATTTTGTTTAATAAAGAAATAGAATTGTTTATGAGTGCAAAAAATAGCAACATTTTTCTTTCTATATTTAAAGAAAAGAAAATTGGAGAATGTAAATTTGAATCTTACCCTTCACAGCCTTTTTACCCATTTTGAATGACAGTGGGCCTGGTTTTGACTGAAATGAAAATGATATATTAACTCACTCTTTCTGCGATACGGTGGACTCCGATGGGGGTACACGGGCCAATCAGGAGCACAATCACTTCACCGATAGAGCAGCGCCCATTTTTTATGATTACAAAATTCAGACTTAGAAAAAATGTACACATTGAGAACTGCTCACGTAAGAGAACTGTTTGAATAAATAGATTTCACTATAATTGATAGGATTCATGAAGGATTTTATCATCAAAACTCACCTTTTTCTTTGTCTTTTCAGCTGGTTTGTAAACCTCCTTCTTTTGAGCCTTGGTTTTCACACATAGCATGCCTTGGTTTCCAAGGGCTTCAGATTCCACAGTAGGGCTCTCTATATCTGTTGATTCAACTTTTACAGGTTTTATTATTTCAGTACTTTTCTTCTTCTTTTTCCTTTCCTTTGATTTTTTAATGTCAGTTTTTGCAGTATCGTGTTTTTTGGTCGAGGGAATCACCGTGGCTTTGAGTCTATTTATTATTGGAATGTCATCATTTTCATCTGAGTCCGACTCTGGCTTCTTAATGTCTGATATACTATAGGTGTCAGTACCTGTATCGGTATCAGACACCTGTACTAAAACTTTAGGTTCTGTTTTAATGACACTACTTGTTTTAGAAGTTGAACTCTCCGAGTCAGATATAATCTCCATCGATTTGGTTTGTGACCGCTGACGTTCAATTTTTATCTTTATCCTTTTCTGTTTAGTTTCACTCGATCGTCGACGAACTTTTTTCTTCTTTTCGCCAGTTTCTTTATCAGAAGAATCTTGACGCTGAATTTTATCAGAAAACATCTTTTTGAAAGAGGCGGGTCTTGCCGCGCGTCCCTGCTCCTTGACTTTAGAGTACATATCGCCTGTCTCGAAGACATTTAATTTTCCTTTCTCTAAATCGTTCCAAAAGTTATCCTTCAGGGTATTAAAGTTTTCATCGTCTGAGTCTACGATTGTGTAAGAGGCTTTTGAGCGAGGTGCCTTTGATTTTGAAACTTGAGCTTGCGGTTCAACCTTTGGTCGTTTGGGCTCTGCTTTATCTGTTTCACTTGTTTCATCGCTGAAAACATCACTGGCTATCATTTCTTCTTTTTTCTTTTGCTGCAAAATAAGATCATAAAATTAATCAGGATAATATAAAAATAAATGGTGAAATAAAGAACAATCATTGAATTTATATGAAAATACCAGGGACAGCATGTGAAAATGCGAGTGAAATGAAATTTCCCGATGTAATTTTTCTATAAATAAAAAATATCAACTGTAAAAATTTAACATGACATTGTATGAAATTAAAGTTTACACTTTTCAGTTTTGTGCATGTAAAACAACAATCCCTTAGTTGAAAGTTCACCAATCAAATTGATTCAGATTCTATATGAAAAAGTATCTTTGAACAAGATCAATATAATAATTTTTCTGAAGTCTTATTATAACAAAAAAAAGTGCCAAGGCTGACTGATACATAAGGGTTTCTACATGTATAGTAAAACCTGTTTACATGTATATTGAATACTTTTCTGCAGATAAAAAGTTCAATGTTGGTAGGTATGCACTACTGAGACCATAATTTAAACAAAAGTCATCAGAAGGATGTCTTCTTGATACGAGTCTTCACTAGTCTAAGAGGTGTTCACTAAGACAGGTTTTACTGTATAACCCTGATGGAAAATTAGAATCGTTTATGAATGAATATTTGCTGTTACTCAACTTACTCATCCTTCATCAGTTTTCGCAATTTAGAACGTGCGCTTGTATAGTTAAATCACTCAATTACAAAAAAATTAATATACAACTATGCACTCTATTCAAAACATTTATGATTATCAGTTCAGATATGAACAATATTTGAAGAAGAATGTAAAACTGGATCACTTAAATTACAATATTTGCTCGTAAAGTAAGAATGAGATACTAACAAGGCATTAACATGAAAAATCTCACTACCTGCTATTTGTTACCGAAGCCTAACTTCCAACACTGTCCACAAAAAAGTTTGAAACTATAACAATCACCACTACTGATGGTCACAAAAACGACCTCATCTATGAATATAAATGAGGAAATATATGAATAATCCACCCGTGTAGCTCAGCGGTAGCGCATGTACCTCTTACGCAATAGGTCCCGGATTCGATCCCCGGTTCAGGCAAGACTAAATTTGCTTGTTTGCGTGAAGTACTTCAGGGTGTTTGACTGAGTGGTCCGCAACTCGTACAAAAGGATGTAGAGTGTACTTGTATGTCTATGTATAAGTGCACATAAAAGAACACAGGGCTCCTTCAAGGAGGGGTTTCTGGGTCTATCTTCAAGGTTAATTACATAAATTACGACTGTATATATACGGGATATACCCTAGAGGTATTGCTCACCTTCATTGGTGGTAAACAAAATACAATACAATACAATACAATACAAGGCATTAACATGCAAAATGTCACCACCCTTTGTTACAGATGTAAACCACCAATCGCCAACCACCAATCGCCAACCACTGATCACCAACCACCGACCACCAACTGTTGTCACAAAAAATGGAGACCATAACAATATGTCACCACAATTGGCTAATTAGTAACCAAATTGGCTCACCTCTCGTTGATCCCGCTTCCTCTTGATTTCTTCGTGTTTCTTTTCATACGCCTCAATCATATCAACACAGGATGAGAGATTCTCGTAAGGTTCCCAAGTGTCCCATTCTGGTCCATAGTTTACCCAGCGTACTTTGTATAATGTCTTGCCCTGCAATAGCCAACCAATAAAAATTAACAATGCAAAACAAGAACATACAAATTGTATAAAGTGTATTGAGTTATTCTATTTGAATAATTTGATGAGTATGTTGGAGTTATTCAAGGTAAGCTGAGCCGAAAATATTGCTACGTTTGTAACTTTCAAGAGAAAGTTTTTCTGAAATTTTTTCCAAAATCATTCATTTTAATTGTGAATAAATCGAGTGTTCAAGAGCCTCTCCTCGAGTAGGATAATTCACACGATTCCAACCACTAATTCATCGACGTTAAAAGGGGGACTGTTTATACCAAGACACTGCCATGCCTTACAACAATTTTCGTTCAGTGTAGCGCAACACAGATGGTGACACATATTGAACTATAACAGCGCAGGATATTATAAAGCAAATATCGATCAACAAGTTTTTAAAAATAGGTAAGTAAACATCATAAAACATCAAGATAACGATTTTTTTCGTGCAGCAAAACATGTTATATTTACAAATTTTTCAGAAAAATATCCTTCTAGAACTCTCGACTTGTATGACTCTGATCGCATCGGCGTGTATACTTTTGTATTGCTGTACCAATTATCTATCAGATGATGTACTTCATTGTTGTTTTGAGATGACAAGGAATCTTTTATTTGATTTTTGTAGTTGGTGTTTATCAACTGGACCCCTTCCCTGTGGGTTTTATTGAAGCTGAATAAAAATTGAGACGTACAGTGCTGATATATAATAATATAGGGTACGTTTTCAAACTAAAAAAAGTGTTCCTTCCAAAATGAATTTGCCTATACATACCCCTGAAACTCTTAGCAATTATAGGTAAAAAGTTCTCTTGAAATTTCGAAGTGATTTTACCTGTTAATTCTGTCCATGGTCGGCCATTTTTGCGGAAGTTACACTGAAACGCAAACTCCATGAAACGAAACTAAATCACTAGAAAAAACATGGCACACATTGTGCGCATGTGCAGCAAAGTTTAGACCAATTAGATTATTTGATTATTTTGGGCATGTGAATTATTTGCTTCCGAGCACTTACAAGCTTACCACAATAAACAAACCTGGCAGAGACTACCCTTAGCCTACTTCATTTTGGCGAAATTTCAGCTCAAACTCGTGAAAAATGCATTATGCATACGCTGGTGTGAAGCCTTGGAGACACTCATTTTGGTAAATATGATTTATGGGGTATACTTTTCTGCAGTTTGTGGGAGTTTGGGACATTAAATGTTAAAATTCAAGAAAATATGCCAATTAAACGACTGATCAATTAATATATACCAGCACTGTAGTCTTATCTGTGAAAAAGTAATATGCACTTGAAAAATTGGAACTAAACATGAGATAAAGATAAGCAATACATCATTTCTGCGCATCATAACTATTTTATAAAAGTATAGTATTTCTAATATGATAAGAAGATATACATTGAAACTTACATCTGTTTTGGTCATTCCCACGATTTTTTCAACTTCATAAACATCATCAACTTCGTCATCTTCTTCTTCTTCACCGGCATTTTCATCCACTTGAGCATTTTCAATTGCAGGTTCCACCTCTTTTGGTGTAGTTTCTGGTTCAATAGATACCTCGGGTAGCGAATTGTCAAACAAAATATCACATTTTGTCGAACTTTCTTCTTCAACGTCAGCCATGTTGAATTTAAAACTCCGCCACGACACCTATTGCGCAAATGGCAAAGAGACTCCATGGATAAATATTTTCAAGCAGAGACCGACCAGATGATTGGTAGTACACATAACTCATTTACGTAGGCCTATATATGTACTTGTGGGTACTATATATATATAAATACTGAACAAGATAATCTAGGGAAAATGACACTAGGAAAATACGAAGGCAAATCAGAGTAGATCTATTCAAATATTAGGCCGTTCATAATGGGCTTTCGCCATAGAAGGGTAGGCAACTTTAATTCCCATATTTTATACATAAACATTGTCTAAGTTTTTAAAAATTGGATAAGAAATGCCTTCTTGTACCCATTCCAAGGAAAATCTTGTTTTGTGCTTTTCATGTATGATTTTAAGAAATAACCCAAACATACGAAACATGCATGATTATCTGGATGTTGATAATTTAATAGAAAATGGAATTCATCATAATTTTGACAATAATGAAACTGAACATTCTCCCACAAATTATTTTTTATTGGAATGATCTTGAATAATTACACACAATGCAAAACTCAAAGAGAACATTTTGTCGGTTTCCGCTTTTCCTTATCAGTGATCTTTTTTGTTTACTAAGGGAAGCATGGCACTATACTCATTTTGAAGTTCTCATTAATAACACAGAGTCGCATAGCCTTCTATTGAATGCCTAGATGCCATTCTGATACTCATAGCATCTTTCTGTTTCACCTGAAACATGCTCTGATATTATGAGGCATATTCTGTGATCTGAGCACATCAGATGGGAAGAGTTATAACTGTCAATAAGTGTGATAGTTATCATGTAATCATTTACCTAATGTCAATACATTACATAATAGGCATTGTATTTAACAGCAGATATTAGCACAGGTACGTGTACACAAGTTTAATGACCCCAATTAAATGAAATATGAGCTGGGATGAAAGATCTCAAAAATCCTCAATTTTGGGCTCTCCTGGATCGCCAAATCAAGCTCATTATATCATGGCATCTCAGGGCTGAGAAGAAATGAGATGTCATGGTATATCATGATGCCTAGATGCTATTTCTCTGAGACATCTATCACGACTTCTTGAAAGGTACCATTGGGGATAACTTCCAGTCTGTGTGTGGACTGGTACAAAATTTTGAAGCTGATTGAATAATCAATTGATAAGTAGCCAGTAGTTTCATATTCACACATAGGCGGATTATCTCTGAGATGTCCCCACTAATCGGCTTATAGGCTTATAGATGGCTTATCTCTAATCCCTATTGTCTGTCTAGGACCGAACTAGCGACGGATTATCGCTAATCCCTATTGTGTCCGAGCTGGTCCCTAATGGGTTTAAGGACAGAATCGGCGTACCGATAATCTTTTAATCCGATGAAGGATGTAGAATTTTTTTTGAAAATCCTTTAATCCTATCAGCGATTTTTTGAAATGGTCTGGAGATGATCAGCCTGTAGGGTAGATGAGAATTTGTCTAATAAGATTACGATAGAAGAGTTGGTACGAGCTTATTGTATGGACTTTTTGTATACTAATAAATGTAAATGGATGGTGTCTTAATAAGCTTAACTAACGAACAAACAATGTAATATGTACTTTGTACAGAAAATTAGATGTTTATTAGAAGTAAAAATCCATATTAAAATATACAAACATGGCGGAATGAAATCAATCGATGTCAGTAGAGGTCATAGTCATCATTAAAATATTGACAGACAAGACAACTCATCATTCCTTCTTGGTTCATATGATCCAGCGGAAAATGGGCAAGGCAATTACGTTCCTCTAAAGGTAACCGAGGGATCAATAGTCGAATATCCTTTAGCATGTCCATAACATCTGCGAATGAAAAGGTCACGTGCCATTTCAGAATTCTAGTACTGTTGTGTCTGTCGTATTCTGTGGATGTAACTGATAGCAACTTTTCTTCAGCGAAGACTCTAAATTCGTAACCTAGTCCCAAATGGTAGAATCGATCTGGTATAAATTCGAACGACTTTAAGTGTTGGTCATCTGGTGTTTTGGTCACGTCCAAGTAATATATTAACGAACGCAGGCCTCCCGTTTCGAAAAAGCATTCGATCAAATAGTCGAACTCCCTCGATGTCATGATACCAAAGTCTCCAGGTTGAATGGATGGTACCATGACCATAGTATTAGCATGTTGTTGCGCCGAATATTCTCTTATGACTACGTTATCCCCTATACGATAGATATATGTAGCCCCGACTTTTAACATCTTTGGTAGTTCATTTTCCAGTGGTCTTACGATCGAACCCTTGGGTTTTTGAAAATCTATCTTTGATAAGTGAAATGTCACGCAAGTCCCATCGTTATCTTCGTCCAAGCACGAACCTTTAATGTGCATGTTAACCTCCGAATGTAATCATAAAAAAAAGGAATGTTGTGGTTTACACGTTCTCTGATATAGTAGATATTACTTTGAATCGTCCTTGACCGTGTTCACTAGATTCGTTTCAGAACGTTCACCACCGCCGAGGCAATCTATGGAATCAACTGCCGATGATGTTGGTGTCGATCTTCTTTTCAAGGTCAGGGAAACCACTGTTACAACGGCAATCGGTACAATAATGCAAACCAATGCAGGTATGATCATGTCCAATTGAAGCGATGGTATATCTGTAAAAATAAAAAAATAATAAAAAAAAATATAAACGTATTTATGACTATTAGAATTGTTTACTTTGAATCAATGAGGCGTTACACGAGTAGCTTATTATAAACAACTATTACCAACATAAGCCTTGAGATGATCTGGCCCGTATGTCCTAGGTGTAATGAATTCAGCTGCTAATGTTGACACGTTTTCACTTAAGTTTTTACCGATGATCATAATTGTTGTCACGAGTACTATTCTTATTTATGTGTTTAATGTTCTGCGTCTCTTTAATGAATGATTAAATTATCTAAATGCTCTTTGTTAAATGTAAAATTCTGGTAGTCTGGTGTTCGTTTAGGTCTTTATTACCAACGTGTCTGAACACACCGTGGTTGTTGACATACATAGGCAGGGTAGCGTCATTCCCCATAGTAACCGGTAAATATTTACCTACACAATGGATTAACTTCCTAGCAACAGGTAAACAATGAGGTGTTTCTGAAGTCAAATTGTATAGTAATAGTGCAAGTTAGCGTTCTTTCCCATAGTAACAAGAAAATATTTACCTACACAATGGTATAGCTTCCCAGTAAAAGATCAAGTTAGCGTCATTCACCATGGTTAATCATAAATATTTATTTACACTTACCAGGCAAAGGTAAACAGTGACGTCATTCGTATAGTCAAATAAAAGTATTGAGAGCACTGAGTTAGTATATTTCACCAGGAAACGCTCCGACCACGCTTAAGGAAGAAAGGAATTGGGGATTCTGCACACTTTTGATGGTGTCATCCAGGTGAGTATCTGCCAGTATTATATGTAAATTCATTCAAACTATATTTAGGTTATCAAATGAGAAATCACTTATATCCAGTAATATGAGTTGATATTATATCAAAGTAAAATAATGCTCTTGATATGACACATTTTGACAAACTTGCCTTATATTAGTTTTATATGTCTTTAATATAAAAAGTATGATAGAAATACTTACTACTTCGATTTACAATTGCAGCTATACAGTCAACATGGACGGTTTTTACATCTCAGCTGATTTTGATGAGAGATGCGAAAAAATAAAAGAAATAACCAAACTATTAGAGGATCTAAAGAAGGAGACTGACGAGATAGAGCGTGTGTTTAAGGAAAGACTCATACCTTTTTATTGCTACAAACAGTCTATGAACAGAGTGGGGAATAAAGAACTCTACAATACTCACTACAGAGAGCTACTCTCAGCAGCAAATACGATTGTTTATATGTGACTGTTTTAAGAACTAAAAAAATAATATTCATTATATTTTTCTCTACATATAAATGTGACAAGAATGACAAAGGCAAAAGTTAATGTGAAACAATCACGTTGTTATAGATGGAACAATACTGCTAATTCCTACATATAAAGGTTGTATCTAAAAATGAAGTTAGTGTAATTTGTAAGAAATATACTAGTCATTTAAATGTAATAAGGAAATAATATAAAATAAATGTAATAAATCCCATCACTATATTCAACACTCTGTGTTTGTATTTATTATGAGGTCATGTGACATATAATTCCTCTGGTGTATCCCTTCACTTAATATTTAAATACATACTTTAACCATAGATTTCATTAAGTGTTAGAATGTCAACGTCACAAGATCGATACTTGAGCACTCTTTACTACAATCTGTCGAAAGGGGGTTCTCTAGGTGGTCCATCGAGTCTGTATGAAGCTGTAAAGAAAGATAACAGATATAAAATCTCTCTAGGTCAAATAAAAAGGTTTTTGGCTGGCCAAAAAGCATATACATTACATAGGGAAGTACGCAGACGATTCAAACGTCGTAAAACAATATCATATGGTTTAGATTGGGAATGGCAAATTGACAGTATGCATCTGACATCGTTGGCAAAGTATAACTCGAAATACCCCTATATATTAGTGATATGTGACGTCCTCAGTCGTTATTTGATGGCAAAACCAATGTTAAACTTGCGATCGGAAACTGCAGCAAAAGCTTTTAAAGAGATCCTAGATGAGAACCCGACCAGATTAAAGCCAACTCTTGTTTATTCCGACTCTGGTTAGTCTTAATCAATACTATTTTAATGCTACTATCGAGTACTTCTTTATATATTTAGCAGTTACACGACTTTCATAATTTATTTATCACGTGTAGAATGCAAGTATAATTTCTGGAGTGTAAGAATTGAGGTCATTCTGCTGTCTACATAATATTGCAGGAAGTGAATTCAAAGGGGACTTCAGAAAGATGTTAACAAACTTGAATATACAATACAATACCTCATCTAACTCAGAAACAAAGGCCGCAATAATTGAAAGAAAAATTAGAGTTTTACGCTCTAAAATTGGCAGATATTTAACCTATAATAAAACGAATAGATACATAGATGTTCTCCAGGATATAGTTGATGGTATCAACGCCACACCTAGTAGAGTTTTGGGTCAAAGTGCTCCCAAAGACGTGACATTGCAGAATGAAAAGATATTTTACAAACGTCAATTTACAAACAACAACAAAGGTTCCACTAAAAGGAATGATAAAAAGAATAAAAAACCTAGGCCATACACATTCAAGATAGGTGATTACGTCCGTATTTCACAAGTACCCAGGAAATTTAATAAATCCGATTTAAAACAATTCAGCGAAGAAATTTTCGTCATTAAAGATAGAACACGGCGTCAAAACATACCCATGTATAGAGTTGTAGACTTGATGAACAATGAAATAACTTCGTATTTTTACGGGCCCGAACTTCAACTAGTGACTGACTATGATCCCCAGGGTGAACATGAAATTGAATCTGTTATCCGATACAAAGGTAGAGGCGCCAACAAAATGGCTTTAGTAAAATGGAGGTACTATAGTCCTAAGTTTGCCACTTGGGTGAAAGTTTCCGACATAAAGGACATATAATCTAACTATCGGTGAAGTATAAATAACAGATGCGCTTTCTGAAAATAGTCACAAGCCAACAAATAAACGAAGAGTCAACATGTTGAGCAGTTCATATCTATATTTGAGTGATAGAGATTCTATAGACTATTACGGATCGAATACTTCAGTAGGGTTTGGTGTTAGACTTCCAAATACGCTAAAGTTGTCCAATGGTTACTTTGCAATTGGTTTATGTGAAATAAATGTTTCACCTAGTGTTGACACCTCGAAAGGATTGGATGTTTTCTGTGATATTGTCACGGAATCTACATACAATGGATATAAAGGTCAGATCTTAAGACGCCTACCACCAGGTGTCTCCACTGGCATATTTCAAAACGTATATTACGTAAAACTGTTACCTAGAGATGTCGAGACTATAAACATTTATATATTGAACAGTGACGGGACAGACTGTTCATTCATCAACGGTCACACTACGTGTACAGTCCACTTAAAGAGAGTTCTTTAATATAAGTGCGTCATAAACTTGGATCGTTTACATTATATTTTAAAACGAAAGTATACAGTCTGTACAATGACTGCATACGTACCAGTTGTGGACGATACAGACCGATGGTTTACATTTTTTAAAAATACAAAACCCTTTCAAGTAGGAAAAGGAGGTCAAAAGTTACGTTACATTCCTAGGAATGATAAAGTTGAGGTCATTAATTCTAATGTACCCATTAAAGTCACAACACCAGTGGCATCTACTGTTGAAATCGCTAAATCGGATTTAAAACATCAAAACGAGGCCAATAGAAAACGATTTGGTCCGATAGAAAAGGGGAGTAAACAGAAACCTCCGTCACTTGTAAAAACGAAATCTAGTAAAGAGGTAGCTCTCGAAGGAAGCGGTCTCGGACGTAAAAGCATATTCTACGACGACGACATTGACAGTAAGGGCAATCATAAAAAGAGAAAGGTGACTCAACATAAAGGCAGAAACAAACAACAGTAAACATTACACTCAATAATGGCCAACACATTTAAGGTTAAAGATTCACAGGATTTAGTGAATAACAATCTCTTAATTTTTGATGCTCCTGGGACAAATGTTTCCGTGTTAAGGACGACTTACGTGGATTTCAGACCTTTGGCTCCGATTATTCAACAGAACCAAGTTGTTGATTTTCACATTACAAATTCATCGACAAAATATATCGATCTAGCCAAGTGTACACTTCATTGTAAAGTTAAAATAGTCAAAGAGGATGGCAGCGACATCGGTACAGTGAATGAACAAGGGGCGCTGACAGATAATGTAGGTCCCATAAACAACCTGTTACACAGCATGTGGTCAAATGTCGACATTCAAATACAAAATAAACCAGTTACATCGAATTCGAATTACACGTATCCGTATAAAGCCATATTGAAAACTCTATTGAAATACCCAAAGAGTGTAAAAGATACCCGACTGACATCAGCAATGTATTACAAAGATACAGGCATGTCAAAAGATAGAGACGATGCTGAACTTTCCCCGAAAATCGTAAATTACGGTCTTTATGAAAGAGCTGTGCTTTTTGCGGGGTCGAAGTCTGTAGGAATGGAATCGCCCTTATTTGAAGACTGCATGGAGTGTGAAAGATACTTACTTCCAAACATTGAACTAAAGATCCGTTTGACACCAGCCTCCGATGCTTTTAGATTGATAACACAGACGACAAATAAATATAAACTTGTAATCGAAGATATTTTCATGAGAGTTGCCCAATTAAACATAGCACCTGGCATAGTGATGGCCCAAGACTCACTGTTGAAAAACAAAATGGCCCGCTATTTTTACGAAGGATACGACATTAGAAGTTTTAACGTCAACAGTGGCATGTCTACGGCAGTATTCGATAACATATTCAACAGTGCCGTTCCCAATACGATGTTCGTCTGTTTTGTGAAGGCCAAATCCTTTAGAGGCGATATGCAAACCAATCCACTAAAGTTTGAAGACTTTTCAGTTGGGTACGTATACTATTTTCACTTTTACACACACACCAATCATTTTTATGGCCATACCATAGATTTAAACGTACTGTACTACTTTATTGTCTAAACAAAATGACTAATCAAAATAACTAATCAAAACAGACAAAAAAGCACGTGTATACGCCTTTTACTTGCAGATATCTCAATTGCATGGTAGATGGTATAAGTCACCCGTCCGAACCGTTTAGACCTCAGTTCGACACGGCTTCTGGTCAGAATTATACCAGAGAGTATTTGGCTTTATTCGAAAATTGGCCTAAAGACCAAAGCCACGGAATAACACTGCAACAATTCGGCGAAGGCACGAGTATATTTCAATTTAACCTCCAATACATGAATGAACAGGGTACGGACGAATCTATATCACTTCAACGTACTGGCAATTTGAGGCTAGAATTGAACTTTAACAGCCCATTGGATGAACCGATCACAGCTCTGGTGACAGGACTATTTACCAAATCATTTTCCATCGACTATATGAGAAATTGCATTATTCCTCAGTAAAAAACACTTTTTTGACATAACTATGGACAGTTGTACTTTGAGACAATTGCTAACACGTAATGATGCTACAAGCGCTAGATTCGGAGATGTTTATGCCAGGAACAGACTACCGCTGTATAGGCTACCTAACCAAGATATTTTTGTAGTTAATACATTAGACAGTACGCAGTTACACGATGGACATTGGGTACTTATGTTATTCGATGATACTCAAAACACTTTGGAATTTTTCTGCTCTCTAGGAGCACATCCTCGAGACTATGGAAAGACATTTACTGATTTCATCGAGAGACACAGCAACTACACTTTAGTCGTATGTAGTCGTAGTATTCAAGATATGAACAGTGACACTTGCGGAAATTATGTGTATTTATATACAGTTCTAAGATGTATGGGTGTAGCATCCCAAGAAATTCTGTATGCTTTCGACGACGTCCATAAAATAGATAATGACATTTTAGTAAAAGAGTACACAGACGAGACTGTCAAAATGTTAACTTTAAGCAGATAATATAGGTTACTGTTTTTTGAATAATAATACTTTACATAGTGTAAATATGAGTGTGTTCACTTTGTAAATAGAATATCTTTTTAAACTTTAAAAAAATAAAATAAAAATTGACTATAAAAGTGTAAATGTATTAAAATAAAAATTGTTAACAAAAACTGCATAAAAGAGAAAATAAAAATGTTTTTTGGTGTTTTAACAGTAAAATCTTTATTCTTGCTTTATTTATACAAAGTTGTTTCGTGTACTATTTACAAAAAGGTGCAATACTAAATGGATAACATTGTAATTGGTTCACTGAAGACATGAACTATTGTTAAAATGGGACCATATTTTAACGATACAATTACAGTTTAGGCCACGGTTGTATATGCTAATACTTGATTACAAAGGGATTTCAATGACATTTACTCTAGACATAAAAGTACTTTGTGCCACTATCAATCGAGTCAAAAATGAAAATTGTCCTTCTCTGTTTAAATCATTTTCAACTTTTGTCCACTTATTATAGTCACTTAATCAAACGTTGCCACTTAATATACACAATATCATCATCATTTGAGTACATCTTTTAAAAAATATCTCATTTATAACTGAAACCATTTCAGTCTACGTTTTTTCTTTGTTGTGCTTTGCATAGTCTTTTGATTTATTCCTGGTGGTTTACTCGGAAGAACAACACTACGCTCTTTGTCCATGGATCTATCACCAGATGTTTTATGCCGACGCACCTTTGCCAAATGTAGTCGACGATTTTTATTCACCATTGACGTTTCGGTAGACTGATTTAACTCTGAACCGTAGTCCTTACGTTTATTTCTAGTTGTTTTGGAGGGTTTTGAAGGTGGAGTATCATTGGAGTTGAGCGCATCTTGGTTGTTTTTGTCATCAGTAATATCATTTCTATTGTCCTTAGACGTTTTTATTCGAGGTGATGATGCAGTAGTCGTTTCATGGTCACCTTTTAAAGATACTTTGTTGTTTTTTACATCAGAGTTTATCCGATCGGCTGCTGTAGAAGTCCTTGTTGATGAGTCTTTAGTCTTGTTGATTTCGGTCAGTTCTTTCTGCATTCGTTCATACTGGTGTAGTGGAACTAGGACTGACTTAAAACTCATACCTCTTTAAATGTTCCAACGCTATCTTTAATAACTTAATTAATACAGTTTGTTTCTTTAAGATCAGTTTTTTCTTTTTGACTAGGCTATTCTTTTTATGACTGATTGCTTCAAAAAACAGTTTGTGCCTTTTCAAATCGGTTTTCTCTTTTTCCGTAATAGGTATGTTACCAGTAACCAGGTTATAGACAATTTCGACGATTGCCTTCAATGGTTGTTTTTTCAATGTTCTCAGTGCGTTCCTCAACTCCTTTTTAGAATTAATTTCAACGATATGTCTTATATAGTGTATATTTCGCTTAACCAATTTACTCATGGTCGTGTCATTTCATCACTCGCCAATTGCTGAATGACCCGAGACTATCAAACAGTTCACTGATATACAATAGCCATAGAGTCGTCCTTAAATATTTTTGTGCGCATGCGTATTCTGTCGTCACTCAATGTATGTAAATCTAAGAGTAAGTAGGGCCATTTTGATGATACCATAGCATCTTGATAAGCTTTTACTAGCTTACTTCCCAAACCTAGTTGACCAGCCAAAATCTTGATGGAAGACAGTGATCTAAGTGATTTGAACAATATTAGGTATTGTGTGTTCAGTGCGATAGTTCTACTATTTTTTCCCGTTTGAAATAGATTTTGTAGTATGTACATACATGATAAACCTGAAATACAAACGACACAGTCGTATTTGTTATATGTTTAAGTCTGTTATTCGTGTAAAGTACTGTGTTCTACAAAAAGTACATATATATCAGTAATTGCCTATGATCGTAACAAACGTACCCGAATGATGTGTTCCGTATGTATAGAGGCGTTCTACGTATGAACTCTTACTGGCTTCTTGACCCAGATCATCTATCACTATCATGAGATGTTTCGTTTTATTAACATATTTCTGAACTAATGCCTCATCCGGCAGACCTTCGTGTAAATAAAAGTCTTCAATATCATCGGCCATGGTTTGATAGAATTTATCATACACACCGTAGCAGTAAAGTACGGCTGTTGGGGGATTTTTGTTATACAAGTACTTAGCATCCTTGAGGAATTTGTACACAAAGTATGATTTACCTATGGGCATAATATTTAATGTATAAGTTTTATACGGTGTCATTAATTTTTATTCTTTCGTTTAAAAAATAGAGGAGAAATGGCGGAATACTCGTGTTCAAGTTTACAATATTAGATTACCAATCATAAAGTATCAATGTTACCTGTGAACGTAGCGCCTACGATCATAAAGCTACTGTAGGGTTCAATACCACTTTTTTCCACTATGTTATCAGAAAATGACATTCTTACTCCTCGACAACTAGACTTTAAATGAGGGCTCTAAAGGACTTCATCTTAATTTATAGGGATAATAGCATAAGAAAAAACCTTTATATATGTCATATTAGATTTATTTATTTGTTTTTTCATACGTTTCATATTAGCAAAGTTTTACAAGCTCACTCAAACACGCAAACACACACTTTTAATGTAGTTTAATCAAGTCTCGTATAGTGCACATTGTACACGTCTATAAAATGTTCAACTCGGCCATTGTAGTCTTTTTTTTATATCATGGTAAGATAGGTTCATATACTGTTTGTTCAAGGACATTTCTGTCTGCATCAATGCGCGTTTCACATGATTCCAAATCTATGTGGAAATTAAAGTCATCGGGTTTGTCTGTAAGTGGCAGATATGAATCGAAGTCCAAGTCAGAAATGCCAGAATAAATGCTCTCCGTGGAACTGCTTAACAGAGGGTTAGATAAATCTAAGGTCGGCGATATATACTTGAATGGGTCTTCCAATTCAATGACTGGAGTAGGTGGAACATCTAGAGCAGGTTCTGTCTGCGTGCTCTTGTCGCTAGCATCCAATTTTAAATGTCTAAATTTAGGAGGGACTCCTGTCTTGCGTGTGGTTTTAAACGGTGTATACTGGCTCGGATCTGTGATGGCTGTAAAGAACAACGAAAAAAAAAGTTTTTTTAAAAAACCCTATTTCATTCTAGCATATTAATCAGTGTGCATAGATTTATTTCCAAGACGAGTGATTTTTTCTAAAATACCCTAGTATGTATAAATATATGTAAATCTTAGAACATTTACTTCCCATTTTCATATGCTATGAAAGAAATATATTGTACTTACCATTTACTACTGGCACATCAGAGTTGTCTTGAATACAGTTGTCTATGACTGGCATCCATTTCTTTAGATCCTCAAAATCACTAGTACTCATACACACTTCGTTCATAGTGTTGCCACACTGATCGGGACGAGATCGTTTACGTTTAAATTCGAACAGTATTTCACCTTGCTCGTTCTCGTATACGATCAATGTTAACAGTTTCTTTTCGCCAATGTTTAAAATCATTTCTTTAGAGGCGCCACTTTTGATGCATGCCACTAGACCTTCTATGTTTGCGAGGCTGTCCTTAAGATTACTCCACATATATACTGTTATTAGTATACTGGTTGTGCAATATTGACTTCTTTCTTTGCTCCAATACTTCTTCTGTAGTACCAGGAACGGTTTGGCGTATTCCCCCTTTTTAATTTCAACATAAATAGTTTCACTGATCTGAAACAGTCCCACACTCTGCGTAGTTGATGTTTGATTGGTGTTCTGCATTTTGCTTTTTTCCTAGTCCTTCTGTCTGTATGTTCTGTCTGTATGTTCTGGTGAAATGTAACAACTTGTACTCTCTCGATACTTTTATTCTACTAAATGAATGACGTCACTGTTTACCTGTTGCTCGGCAAATATTCCATTGTGTAAGTAAATATTTTCTTGTTACTATAGGGAAGGACGCTAACTTACACTGTTACTATAAACAGTTTGACTGTGTTTCACGTCTATGTTTACCTGTCACTAGGAAGCTATTCCATTGTGTAGGTAAATATTTTCTTGTTACTATAGGAAAGAACGCTAACTTGCACTATTACTATACAATTTGACTTCAGAAACACCTCATTGTTTACCTGTCGCTAGGAAGTTAATCCATTGTGTAGGTAAATATTTACCGGTTACTATGGGGAATGACGCTACCCTGCCTATGTATGTCAACAACCACGGTGTGTTCAGACACGTTGGTAATAAAGACCTAAACGAACACCAGACTACCAGAATTTTACATTTAACAAAGAGCATTTAGATAATTTAATCATTCATTAAAGAGACGCAGAACATTAAACACATAAATAAGAATAGTACTCGTGACAACAATTATGATCATCGGTAAAAACTTAAGTGAAAACGTGTCAACATTAGCAGCTGAATTCATTACACCTAGGACATACGGGCCAGATCATCTCAAGGCTTATGTTGGTAATAGTTGTTTATAATAAGCTACTCGTGTAACGCCTCATTGATTCAAAGTAAACAATTCTAATAGTCATAAATACGTTTATATTTTTTTTTATTATTTTTTTATTTTTACAGATATACCATCGCTTCAATTGGACATGATCATACCTGCATTGGTTTGCATTATTGTACCGATTGCCGTTGTAACAGTGGTTTCCCTGACCTTGAAAAGAAGATCGACACCAACATCATCGGCAGTTGATTCCATAGATTGCCTCGGCGGTGGTGAACGTTCTGAAACGAATCTAGTGAACACGGTCAAGGACGATTCAAAGTAATATCTACTATATCAGAGAACGTGTAAACCACAACATTACTTTTTTTTATGATTACATTCGGAGGTTAACATGCACATTAAAGGTTCGTGCTTGGACGAAGATAACGATGGGACTTGCGTGACATTTCACTTATCAAAGATAGATTTTCAAAAACCCAAGGGTTCGATCGTAAGACCACTGGAAAATGAACTACCAAAGATGTTAAAAGTCGGGGCTACATATATCTATCGTATAGGGGATAACGTAGTCATAAGAGAATATTCGGCGCAACAACATGCTAATACTATGGTCATGGTACCATCCATTCAACCTGGAGACTTTGGTATCATGACATCGAGGGAGTTCGACTATTTGATCGAATGCTTTTTCGAAACGGGAGGCCTGCGTTCGTTAATATATTACTTGGACGTGACCAAAACACCAGATGACCAACACTTAAAGTCGTTCGAATTTATACCAGATCGATTCTACCATTTGGGACTAGGTTACTAATTTAGAGTCTTCGCTGAAGAAAAGTTGCTATCAGTTACATCCACAGAATACGACAGACACAACAGTACTAGAATTCTGAAATGGCACGTGACCTTTTCATTCGCAGATGTTATGGACATGCTAAAGGATATTCGACTATTGATCCCTCGGCTACCTTTAGAGGAACGTAATTGCCTTGCCCATTTTCCGCTGGATCATATGAACCAAGAAGGAATGATGAGTTGTCTTGTCTGTCAATATTTTAATGATGACTATGACCTCTACTGACATCGATTGATTTCATTCCGCCATGTTTGTATATTTTAATATGGATTTTTACTTCTAATAAACATCTAATTTTCTGTACAAAGTACATATTACATTGTTTGTTCGTTAGTTAAGCTTATTAAGACACCATCCATTTACATTTATTAGTATACAAAAAGTCCATACAATAAGCTCGTACCAACTCTTCTATCGTAATCTTATTAGACAAATTCTCATCTACCCTACAGGCTGATCATCTCCAGACCATTTCAAAAAATCGCTGATAGGATTAAAGGATTTTCAAAAAAAATTCTACATCCTTCATCGGATTAAAAGATTATCGGTACGCCGATTCTGTCCTTAAACCCATTAGGGACCAGCTCGGACACAATAGGGATTAGCGATAATCCGTCGCTAGTTCGGTCCTAGACAGACAATAGGGATTAGAGATAAGCCATCTATAAGCCTATAAGCCGATTAGTGGGGACATCTCAGAGATAATCCGCCTATGTGTGAATATGAAACTACTGTAGCCGACAAATCTTATGTATTCATAATTTCTAACAAAAACTGAGTTTTATTTTTCAACATTAAAAGAAAAATAGCTAGCTGTATATTTTACAAATCCAACAGTTAGACATCAGATTGACATTTTTTCAATAAAAAGGAATTATAAAAATAATTTGTTAGAAAAAATAATCAGATTAATAATTTAAATTATTTAATATTGGGAGTTTATAATTACTTTTGATAACTGTGTAGCCGCCTTGTTTCAAACTAGTGCGTAAGTATATATTGATGGAGTTTGTATGTAAATCTACGAATCATGTCACCGATGCATCATTGTAGACGTCATTAAGTGTTAATTCTATCAAAAAGAGAAAAACAAATAGATTATTTAGGTCAGGATATTCAAATCCAGTTAAAATAGCACAAGGATTTTTGTAAAAATGTCGAGCGGAAAATTTTTGGGAGAATGTTCAGTTTCATTATTGTCAAAATTATGATGAATTCCATTTTTCTATTAAATTATCAACATGTATGCAGATAATCATATTTATATTTTTGGGTTATTTCTTAAAATCATACATGAAAAGTTCAAAGCAAGATTTTCCTTGGAATGGGTACAAGGAGCATTTCTTCTCCAATTTTGAAAACCCAAGACAATGTTTATGTTTGAAATATGGGAAGTTGCCTACCCTTCTATTGAAAGCTAACATTAGTTAATTCCATTCTGATAAAACTAAATCCTTATAAGAATACTAATACGGAATCATAAATAAATGTGCAAATAAATAAAATGTACGGCATTAAAATGTTCTCAATACGTCCTCAGACAGTTCAACTCGTTGTAAAAATGTCCCTAGTAGGATTGAAGTACGACGGTTCCGTTCGTAGTACGTCCAGCTCGTCGTTAGTAGGCTATGTTGTAACTCGTTCTAATTGTAGAATGGGAAGACCACGAGAACATTTTCAGCATGTTCTAAGTTCTAAAGGACCTACCCGTTCGATGAAGTTTGTAAATAGACCTCAGACGGCTCTAAGTACGTCCAGTCCGTTCGTACACAGTAGAAGCCTGTTTTCGAGAACGTAGATGGTGTTTGGTATGATAGTAGAGTTACTGAGACATCTAGCACGACTTGAAAGGTACCATTGGGAATAACTTCCAGTCTGTGTGTAGACTGGTACAAAATTCTGAAACGAAATGTATTATCAGTTTGTAAATAGCCGACAAAATATTATGTATCCATAACATCTAACTAAAACTCGAGTTTTATTTTTCAACATTAAAAGAAAAATAGCTAGCTTTATATTTTACAAATCCAACAGTTAGACATCAGATTGACATTTTTTCAATAAAAAGGAATTATAAAAATAATTTGTTAGAAAAAATAATCAGATTAATCATTTTAATTATTTAATATTGGGAGTTTATAATTACTTTTGATAACTGCATGTGTACCCGTCTTGTTTCAAACCGTATCGAGTATGGAAACATGTTGATCAATTGGCAATTTTTTTTTGTTCGTTGCAGAAACAGACTATTATTAGTGCGTAAGTGCATATTGAAGGAGTTTTGTATGTAAATCTACGAATTATGCCACCGATGCATCATTGTAGACGTCATTGAGTGTTAATTCTATCAAAAAGAAAAAAACAAATTGAATATTATTAAGATCAGGATATTCAAATCCAGTTAAAATAGCACAAGGATTTTGGTAAAAATGTTGAACGGAAATAAAATTGTAATGCCGTAAGCTCACATTTCATTTATTTGCACATTTATTTTTGATTCCGTATTTTTATTCTTATAAGGATTTAGTTTTATCAGAATTGAATTAACTAATGCTAGCTCAGAGTGCATCAAACAACGTCTTCGAAAAAATTCCCGGGAAAGCCCCAGACCCCCTTAAACGATCGGCCTTCGTCCACGTACCAAAGGGAGTACGGCGTACCAACTCAAAAATAGCCAGACGCCTATCATAATTGATATTATATGACCATATGTAATGATATCTAGTCTCTAATATTTCAAAACGTTGTCTCCCATGTTTCAATTTTTTATTTGTCTTTTATTTGTCATGCATGTTTTTAACTGTTTTGCGCGATACAATAGATATCCAATTATAATTTTAAGTTTGACCTTTTTCAATAAGTTAAGAAATAAGTTTTCTATACTCAGGGGCGGGGGTGAATAGAGCGAACAAGGAGGGAGGGGGGCGGGGGCATATTTAAAGCCTGGACAAATTTTGGGCCCATTTTCTTGATAAAGAAAAATGCCGATAAATTTTGATCAAACATCACGTTAGCCAAACTTGCAAGTACTGATTCGTAATTTACAAGCCTCGTTCATGCTTGTACGGGGCCCGATATAATTTGCCTGTGTACTTCCAGTTTGTAAATAAACTGGTACAAAATTTCAAAACAAAAAAGAATCTTTCTGAAATTTGTGTTCACAAAATTCTATTTATTCAATATGTCTAACATTAACTTGACTCACATCTTTTATAATTAAAAGAAAAATTTCTAGCTACAACTTTTAAAAAGTTTACAGTTAGTGCTCATATTCATATGTTTTAAGAATAAAATAATACTTTTAGTAATTTGTGGAACTTCATAAAATTAATTATTATATCAAATATTTAATAGCTTCGTTTTTTATAACCAACTGTTTCAAAGTGTATCTAGAAAGTAAATCTGTTAATCAAGTAGATATATTTTGGCAATGCCGAGTTTTCTACAATATATTATGAATAATTGAAATATGCATTGTCTCTTAGGCTTTT